CAACAAGTATCAAGGTCAAAGAAACAATGCTCAAGGACAAAATCAACAACAATAGAAGTCACAAGGGAACCAATGTAATTGGAAACCGCCAAGGCAATTGGAGTGGTGGCAATTCTAATTAAGGAAACTGGAACATTCAAGGAAATCAAGTCAAATGGAGTAATCAAGGCAATTGGGGTGGCAATAGTTAATGCAATTGGGGAGGAAATAATCAAGGAGGGTGGAACAACAACAACAATCGGGGGTCGGCTTTTCAAAGACCCCCAATTTTCCAACAACCAAGCAATCCACTTCCTTATCCTTCTCAAGGCCCGAGTTCTTCTTCCAATAAGATGGGTAGAATTGAAAACATGTTTAAACAAATGATGAAGAAGAATTCCGACTTCGATGCTCAATTAGCCTCGCACAACACTTCTATTCGGAATTTGGAGGTTCAATTTGGCCAAATCTCACAAGCATTGAACACTCGTCCTAAGGGGGCACTACCTAGTTATACGGTGGTAAACCCAAAGGGTGGGAGTAATACGGGACATTTTATGGCTGTCACTACTAGAAGTGAGGCGGAGATGAGACCACCTCAAATCAAAGAATGATTGTGGATGAAGATGTTGTGGTTCAAGAGGATGAAATCCCAAGCCATGTGGTTCAAGCTAATGAATACGTGATAATTGATATAGATGAAAGTGAGGAGGAGATTCAAGAAGAGATGAACCCGTCTAGAGAACACGTGATTGACATGCCGGAACTGGTAGTACCCAAGGTTAAGGCACCAACGCTAACGCCTCCTCCTCCATACTCTCAAAGACTTGCAAAGTAGAACAGTGAAAACCAATTCAAAATTTTTATTGCTATGATGAAGAGTTTGTCAATTAATGTGTTGTTGGTTGAGGCATTGGAACAAATATCGGGATATGCAAAATTCATGAAGGATTTGGTAACTAAGAAAAGATCAATGAATTGTGAGACCATCAAGATGACTCATCAAGTGAGTGCTAGTGTGCACCCAATGGCTCGAAAGTTGGAAGATCCGAGCGCTTTCACAATCCCTTGCACTATTAGGAGCGCCAATTTTGCCAAAGCATTATGTGATCTTAGGGCAAGTATCAACTTGATGCCCTACTCGGTGTTCTAAACTTTGGGAATTGGGCAACCAAACCTTTGGGTATTATTGATGATGTATTTGTTCGAGTTGACAAGTTCATCCTCCCAACGGACTTTGTGGTCCTCGATTGTGAAGTGGATTATGAGGTCCTTATAATTTTGGGTAGACCTTTCCTTGCTACGGGGAAGGCTCTTGTTGATGTGGAAGCCGATGAGCTCACTTTTTGGGTGGGTGACGAAAAGGTGGTGTTCCACGTATGCAAAACAATTAGCCAACCGAATATTAATGAAGTTTGTTTGTTTGTGGATTTGGTGACAGACGTGATTGTTGATGATGCTAGTGCCACAATGAATGTTGAAGACAAATTGGAAGCCGTTTTGCTCAACCTTGATGATGATGAGAAGAGTGATGGCTATGCGGAGTGTGTAAATGCATTGCAAGGCATGTAGCCATACACTGATGAGCCCCGAAAGCTATCTTTGGATCTTGAAAACCAAAAAACTCCTCCAACAAAGCCCTCAATCGAGGAGCCTCCTACCTTGGAGTTAAAGCCACTACCCTCACATCTCAGGTATGAATTTCTTGGCCCTTCTTCTACTTTACCAGTTATCCTTTCTTCTTACTTAACTAACATGCAGGTAGAGTCCATATTATAGGTGCTACAAAGGAGGAAAAGAGCAATCAGATGGACTTTGGCAGATATCCGGGGCATAAGCCCCGCCTTTTGCATGAACAAGATTGTTTTGGAGGAGGGTGAAAAACCCTACGTTGAAAATCAAAGGAGGCTAAATGAAGAAATGCAAGAGGTGGTGAAGAAGTAGATAATCAAGTGGTTTGATACCGGGGTTGTGTACCTCATTTCTGATAGCTCGTAGACCTCTCCGGTGCAATGTGTTCCAAATAAAGGGGGCATGACTGTGATAACAAATGGAAAGAATGAATTGATCCCAAGAAGAACTGTCACCAGGTGGAGAGTGTGCATGGACTATAGGAATCTCAACAAAGTTACTGGGAAAGATCATTTCTCGCTTCCATTTCTTGAAAAAATGCTTGATAGGTTGGTCGGACGTGCTTTTTATTGCTTTCTTGATGGATACTCCGGCTATAACAAAATCCTTATTGGTCCTGAGGACCAAGAGAATACCACTTTCACTTGTCCCTATGGTACTTTCGCATTCTCGTGGATGCCTTTTGAGTTGTGTAATGCACCAGCTACTTTTCAATGGGTGTATGATGGTTATTTTCACCGACATGGTAGAGGGCATTCTTGAGGTCTTTATGGATGATTTTTTTATGGTTGGATTCGTTTGAAGATTGTTTGAACAATTTGGGTAAGGTATTAGCTAAATGTGAGGAGACAAATTTGGTGTTGAATTGGGAGACGTGTCACTCCATGGTCGAGGAAAGCATTATCCTCGGCCACAAAATTTCAAAGCATGGTATTGAGGTCGACAAAGCCAAGATTGAGGTGATCTCCAAACTCCCTCCCCTATATCTGTGAAAGGAGTGAGAAGCTTCTTGGGTTATGCAGGTTTCTATTGCCGATTCATCAAGGACTTTTTCAAGGTGGTGAACCCATTATGCAAACTTTTGGAGAAGGATGCCAAGTTCCATTTTAGTGAAGATTGTATGAAGGCATTTGAGTTTCATAAGTTCAAGTTGACTACTACTCCTATTATCACCACACCAGATTGGAGTTTGCCTTTTGAGCTTATGTGTGATTGCTAGTGATGTTGCGCTTGGAGCGGTGTTGGGGCAAAGAATAAACAAAATCTTCCATCAGTCTACTATGCTAGCAAGACCATGAATGATGCCCAAGTCAACTACACAGTGACAAAAAAGGATCTACTTGCTATTGTTTTTGACATGGAGAAGTTCCGACCGTATTTGATGGGTACTAAGGTAATTGTTCATACCGACCATGCGGCCCTTCAATATTTGTTGAGCAAGAAAGATTCCAAGGCAAGGTCGATGCGGTGGGTGCTACTATTGCAAGAGTTTGATTTAGAGATTCAAGACTTCAAGGGTAGTGAGAATCAAGTGGTGGACCACTTGTCCCGTTTGGAGGAGGAGGAGGGGAGGCAACATAATAGCCTTGAGATCAATGATTCATTTTCCGACGAGCAACTCCTATATGTTTCAATGACCGGGTTGCCATGGTTTGCCGATCTAGCCAATTATCTTGTGAACGACATTTTACCGAATGAGCTCTCTTCAAACCAAAGGAAGAAGCTCAAAGAAGATTGCTTGGATTATTATTGCGATGAGCCATTCTGGATATGTATCGATGGTGTGATCCAGCGATGTGTGCCGGAAGAAGAACAAATGGGAATTCTTGAGGCTTACCACTCTTTACCATATGGTGGTCATCATGGTGGAGCTAGAACGGCTACATGGTTTTGACTTGTGGATTCTATTGGACTACCCTCTACAAGGATGCTAGTAAGCTTGTGGAGTGTTGTGATGAGTGCCAAACTACCGGTGGGATTTCTAATAAGAATGAGATGCCCCTTACCACCATTTTAGAGATTGATATCTTTGATGTTTGGGGTATTTATTTCACGGGACCATTCGTGAGATCTTGTGGGAACATTTACATTTTGGTATCTATGGACTATGTGTCAAATGGGTTAAAGTCATGGCTTTACCCAACAACGAAGCTCGAAGTGTGGTGACATTCCTGAAAAAGAACATCTTCACAAAGTTTGGTACTCCGAGGGCCATTATTAGTGATGGGGGATCGTATTTTGCAACCGAGCTTTTGATACCTTACTAACATAGTATGGTGTCACTCATAAAGTTTCAACCCCTACCATCCTCAAGCAAGCCAACAGGTTGAAGTCTCCAACCGGGAGATCAAGAGTATTTTGTCAAAGATTGTAAATGCCAACCGAACAGAATGGTCAAAACAGTGTTATTAAAAGCGCTCGCTTCTCATTTTAAGCAATGAAGCAATGAGAGGCACAGGGCTAGCACTTTTCTGCTAAAAAGGCGACTCACATTCAAAAAGCATGCACTTTTCTTGCTTAAGCGAGAAGCGAGCCGATAGAAAAAGCGAGAAAAAGCGTGTTTAAGCGAGTAGAAGGCATCGGCTAGGGTTTTTTTTAAACCTTTTTGGCAAATAAACCATCTGTTAACAAATAAACATACGCTCTTCAATGACTTCTTCTCGAGCGAACTCCAGCGACGACCACTACTGCTCCAACGACTTCTTCTCCAGATCTCGGTAAGTTTCTTCAACAACTTCTTCTCTTCTTCATCATCATCTTCTTCTTCTTCTTCTTCTTCTTCTTCTTCTTCTTCTTCTTCTTCTTCTTCTTCTTCTTCTTCTTCTTCTGTTCTTCTTCTTCTTCTTCTTCTTCTTCTTCTTCTTCTTCTGCTTCTTCTTATTTTGTTCTTCTTCTTCCATTCTTCTTTCAATTTTTTTCACTTTTAAGCGATGATTTTGTGTCCTAAACGACTTCTTCTTCTTCTATTCCACTTTGTGATCTGTTTTATGCTTTATGCTCTGTTTTCTGCTTTATCATCTACTTTATGCTCTGTTTTCTTCATGTGAATTAATTGTTATGTTTTTTGTTGTTGGTTATTGTAGTAAATTTAATTTAATTATTCAATGGTATCAAGCCAAAAAAGAGATCCAGGTTGGGCGTATGGAGTTGCAGTTGGCAATAGTAACTCAAGAGTGCAATCTATCTTTTGTCTAAAAATTTAACAGTGGAATACATCGTCACAAGAGACATCTAATCGGTGGTTTTAGAGATGTCAAAAAATGTCCAAGTGTTCCGGATACTATTAAGAAAGAAATTAGAGAGTATGTCGATAAAAAAAATGAGTTAAAAATTCCAATGAGCCATGGTATAGTCAAATGGATTAGGATGACTTTGAAGTCAATGATATAATGAGGTCACCTCCCTCTAAATCTCAAATAAAGAATTCAACAAGTGGAAGTGGATCATCCACTGCCGGTAGCAATGTGAAAGGTCCTCTTAATCTTTTTTTCTCACAAAAATCAAATGAAAAGAGAAAGGGTATTGACTTAGATTCTTGTAGGAAGAGTTTAAGGGAGCGTGCTCTAGATGCTTTTACAAGGTGGATGTATGATGCGGGGCTCCCTTTTAATTGTGTGAATTACACCGATAGTTTTGGTGAATTCATTGTGGCCGTAGGCCAATATGGCCCAGGAATGAAGCCCCCTACCTATCATGAAGTAAGAGTTCCTTGTCTAAAAAAGGAGGTGGAGAAGACAGACAAGATTATCGAGGAGCAAAAGGCACAATGGAAAATTTATGGTTGTTCCATTATGATGGACAAATGGACTGCAAAAAATGGAAAAATGGTCATTAATGTTTTGGTGAATTCTCCGAGAGGTAGTGTGTTTCTTGAATCTTATGATGCTAGTGACTCCTCAACCAATTCCAATAAAATGTTCAACTTGTCTGAGAAGACAATATTGAAAGTTGGACCGGAAAATGTGGTTCAAGTTGTTACTGATAACACAAGTGAGAATAAAAAAGTGGGTAACATGTTGAAAGGAGTTTTCCCAAATATTTGTTGGACTCCTTGTGCTGCACATTGTATCAACTTGATGTTTGGTGAAATTTTCAAGTTAGCCCCATATTCAAGAGGTGAACAAGTGGTTCTTATTTTCTATTTTAAGTTTTTAACCTTCATGTTAATTGCTTATACTTATTAACTATGAAATATGACTTCCTACAGTTAAGGCGATCAAGATACATTCTTACATTAGTCAAAGGCCATTGTTGTTGAACATGATGAGGAGATACATAAAACAAAAAAATTGGTGAAACCGGCTAAGACAAGATTTGTAACAAGTATCTTAACCTTGCATAGCTTTTACCTGCAAAAGCAAAATACCTTGTTCTTGTCAACCGAATGGAGTGAGAGTATCTATACAAAGGAAGCTCTTGGGAAAGAAGTTGCGAGATTTATTATTGGTCCATATTTTTGGAATGACACTGTTCAAGCACTTAAAGTTGGTAATCCTTTGGTTATTGTACTTCGTTTGGTGGATGGAGAGAAAAAATCACCAACGGAATACATTTATGAAGCCATGGATAGGGATAAAGAAGCTATTGAGAAGCCATTTGATCATGATAGGAGGAAATATGAGAGAGTGTTTGAAATCATTGATAAAAGGTGGGATGATCAGCTTCATCAACCTTTACATGCAGCAGGGCATATTTTGAACCGCGAATTATTTTACACAAACAATGAGAACAAGACTTTAGATTTAAAAGTTTGGAAGGGGTATCATGCATGTGTTGCGAAGTTGTTGCCAGATGAAGCAATGCAAGACAAAATAGGACAATAGCTTGGTGTGTATATGCAAGCCGATGGACTTTTTGGATTAGCTTCGGCCATTAGAGGCAGAACCAAATTGGCACCAGGTGAGCAACTTTTTTCAATTATTTTACTCTTTAGAGCTTTAACTTTCAAGTTATTAAATTCTAAAATAATACTTCTACAGTTGAATGGTGGATGCAATTTGGTTATGAAGTTCCAAACTTGCAACAATTTGGTATTAGAGTTCAAAGCTTAACTTGTAGCTCATCCGGATGCGAGAGAAATTGGAGTGTTTATGAATATATGAGAAGCTATATTACATTATTACTAAATTAAAGTTTATCTCAATTGTCCTAAGTACTCTTCTTAATTACTTTCTACATATTATTATGCAGATTCATACTAAGAAAAGAAACAGGCTTGAACTAAAGAAACTCAATGATCTCGTGTTCGTAAAATATAATAGAACATTGGCTCGTCGTTACAAAGCTCGCAATATCATTGATCCAATTTTATTGAATAACATTGATGAAGCAAATGAATGGTTAACTGGAGGCCCCCAAAATCATGAAGAAGAAGAAGTATTTGAAGGAGAAGGTCTCACTTTTGGTCATGTTGCTATGGCAAGTGGAGTTGAAGAGAATGTTTATGGTTTTAGGGGAAGTACTTTAAGGATCAAAGAAAGAGTATCTACAAGTACAAGTACATGCACAAGTAGAACCCTAATTAATGAATCCTCAGATGAAGAAGAAGAAGATGATGACCAATATAATAACTCGAACATGATGACACTTCAAGAGTTTGGAGATCTTGTTGAAGAATAGGATGTTGCTCCTTTTGTGATTTTGTTTTGCATTTGCTTAATATGTTATGACTTTTGAGGATTATTCACTATCTAGTTTTCGTATCTATTATTTGCTTCTTGATTCAAGAATTGAAACATTTGCTTAATATGTTATTTTTAATGAGTTCTTAGCCATTTATCTATGCCTATTTTTATTTATTTATGTGTTAAATTGCGCTTCACATGAAAAAAGTGCACGCTTCGCTTCTCGCTTCTGTGAAGCGAGTTTTTGTCATTTTTTTGTGCTTAACGCTTTCCAAAACACTGGGTCAAGAAAACTTAATGATGCTTTTTGGGCTTATAGGACGGCCTACAAGATGTCGATTGGGATGTATCCATATCGATTGGTGTTTGGGAAGATGTGTCGTCTTCCAGTAGAACTTGAGCATAAGGCCATGTGGATTTAAGAAAGTTGAACCTTGAGTGGGATATCGCTGCAAACCTAAGAGTGGCACATTTGAATGAGCTTGATGAATTCCAGTATCATGCCTACACAAGTTCATCCCTTTACAAGGAGAAGATAAAGTACCTCCATGACAAGTACATCCACAACAATGAGTTTAAAGAAGGTGATCTTGTGCTATTGTTCAATTCCCGGTTAAGGATGTTTCTGGGCAAGTTGAAATTAAATGGAATGACCCCTTTGAAGTAGTGAATGTAACCCCCTTTGGTGCTCTAGATTTGAAAAATAAGAATAATGAGGTTTTTAGAGTCAATGGGCACCGGGTTAAACATTATCTTGGCAAGGTTGATGATGACTAGATTGTGGCAATTCTTCATTTCAAGTGATTGGTAATCTACATCGTGCCACGACGTTAAATCAGGCGTTTCTAGGGAGGCAACCCATGTTTTTTTCTTTCATTTATTTTTTCTTTTTTAGATTAGATAGGTTTGATTTTGTGCTAACCAATTTTGAAGTATATGCAGGAATAGATGTGCATGGTAGGGACTGTACAAGAAAAATTTGGCTAAGTGTCAAAAAACATGGTCTCTGAAGTTGGCCTGTCAAAAATGCTTAAGGAATTGCGGCCACACACATTTTTGTGTGATCTGCACTAATGCTACGGCCACACTCATTTTTGTGCGGTCTGCAGCGAGACTTCTCAAAGGCAGGTAAGGAGTGCGGACCGCATCAAAATTATGCGGACACACTCAGTTAGAAATCTGGGCCCCACGAGTAAAAGTATAAATATGGCTTCTCTTATATTTTTACACTCTTTGATCTTCTGAGCCCTAAAGCTAAGCTTGCACAGTAAATTTCCCCATTGCTCTCAAATTTTCCCTCATTTCATCACCTGCATCTTCTTTACTGGTATGTTAATTCCATCCATAGATTCTTCATATTTTGTTTTATTTTTTTCTTTGATTTAGGGTTACTTCCATGCCTAAAAATGTTAATGTTTAGTTCTTTTTGCTTAGAATCATGTGGGTAGCTTCTTGAACATTAATTGGGGTCTAAGTAAATAGCTAATGATGTTTGATTTCTAAAACCATATCGATTTGAGAACAAAATTGCATAACCCTAGGATAGTGCCCGTGAAATTTGTATTATGCAGCCACACACACTTATGTGCGGTCCGCACTAGAGGCTATGTGTCTACACGCACTTTTGTGCGGTTCGTAGCTCTCTGAGTTAGGGAAATTGTGTGCTTGACTTGTGAGGCCACACTCAAAATTGTGTGGTCCGCAATGGACTTATGTGGCCACACTCATTTTTGTGCGGTTCGCACTAATGAAATATCAGAGACCCCAATAGTCTGAACCTGGGGTTGTACGTCCACAGTCAAAATTATGTTGTCCTCACCCCTGGTTGTGCAGCCGCACTCACTTTTATGTGGTCCACACTAGGCAGTCTACGGCCGCACTCACTTTTGTTAGGTTTGCCTGCCCCTTCTGAGAATGTTTGCTGCAACTTTCAATCATGCTTATGTATACATTATGAGCTTCAATTGTAACTGATTTCTAGTTCTTATGTGTTACAAACAATGGTTCCCTCACGTGGTAAAGGAGATATGTCAAAAGGGAGGGCAGAACCCTTCCGAGGCTGGGGTCGAGGTAAAATGAGCCTACCTCTAGCACTCCAAAGGGTTATAAGCAAGAAAGCAACAATAAATATAGCCTTTGATACCTCGGATAACAACGAGTACGTCCCATCTGGGGAAGCTTATGAGGGTAATTCCGTGATAGCACAGTCGGAAACCCAATCATAACAAATCCCAGGGAGATCCACTTGGTGGATGAGTCCTCAGCAGCTGCTAGTTCTTCGGAAGGTTCAAAAGAGGGCAGCCAAGACTCTAAGCCCTCTTCCTCGTATGCTCCACCTTCTCCAATCAGCCCAGACGATGATGATGTTCTTCTACATGATGGTAGAGGGGGTGATACTGCAATGGCAGGGTTAGAAAGTTCAAGGAGGCCAGAGATATAAGAGGACAGATTTTTTTGTGCCAGTGCATTCGCAAAGTTTAGGGAATGGTGGCCACAGAGGTCTCTCACTCTTGAGTTACAATTCTTAATGAAAGATTTGCAGAAGCACAATGCCAATGTCCTTAGGCGATTCCAGGAGCGGAAAGGTTGGAAATGGTTCACCAACAGCGTCCTAGATGCGAATGAGTACCTGGTCAAGGAATTCTACGCAAATGTTGCTCACATCACACTGCGAAGTGGAGGCAGTGCAGTATTTGGAGAAGCTAGCTATGGGTAATGCAGCTCGCCCGTTGCTAGTTGAGATTCTAGCAATTCCAAGGTCATGGCTCACAGTAGGGGTTCCAATTGTCTGGGCCACCCTAAACTTTGAAGCAAAAGGGTGGCAAACATTCGTGTGTAGCTGCATGACCATGCCTCAATGAAAACATGCTCCCACTTCCCTGTGCAGTCTTGGTGGCTTCAATTATGGCTAGGTATCCGATAAATGTTGGTGCCATCATATCCACTAACATCATTTTAGCTGTTTAGAAGGGGGAAAGATCCTATCCGTACTCGAACTTCCTCACTGAATACTTTAAGGATCTGGGGGGGAGTCGAAGCATTATGATACCTAGGTGAAGGCCAAGAAGCCTTTCTAATGGTACCACCTCCAGGGAGTTGAAAACCCAAAGTTCAAGGGTAAAGCTACTACTTCTGCTAGCCAGTCTAAGAGCCAACGGTAGTAGTTACTGATTTAGCTGTCGAGCCTTCCACAGCAGCTGTTACTTCTACCGGGACAGCATCCATGCCACCTTCATCCTCCGAACCACCAGCTTCTGCTAGATTATCAGTTTCATGAACAATGCCAGCTTCCTCTAATATCCTCAGACTGCACTGCGAGTCTCCCAGACATTGGCGAGTCTCAACAACTAGATGCAGGCAACTACTACAAAGCTAATTGTTATATCTAGTGTTGTTGTTGCACAGTCCTTAGCCCCAGCAGAGACACCGGTACCTCCGTCGGTAGAGGAAATATTGAAGAAGATACTGGAAACCTAGAAGACCATTACGGATACTCTAATGGCACATGGGAAAGTCATTGAAGACTTGAGCAAGCAAGTCAAAAAGATGAAGAAGTCTCAAGCATCGAAAAGGTCAGTGGACAAGTTGAGAAAGGAGGCCACCAAGATTGCATGTGCTGGAGATCTGCCATTGGACCTGCTTACGAGCCTTCAGTCCCAGCAGCATAGGCAGCACCAGAGGCAGCAACCCGCCAGTCTGAGGAGCCGGTTGCCACTTCCCACACTGCTGAGGAGATGATCCAGATGCTTAGCAACCCAATTGTCCCTCATCCAGGTAATGATGAGATACAACTTGAGACCGCGAGTGTCGATGATCCCATGTAGACTGAGACCACATATAGAGTTCTCTTAACTCTCTACCCTTTCCCTGTTCTTATTTTTGTTAACCATTGGGGACAATGCTTATTTTCATATGGAGGTGGTCTATTTTGAGTATTTGACTTTGACATTTGACATTTGGGCTGCAATAACTCTGATACTACTTTTCTTTCATCTTTATTTTCCTTTGGTATGCATATATTCTCCCCATTTGATGTATATATTCATTTCCTTTATGTATATATTCATTTGATTTCGGTTTGTATATTCATTTATCTCGTTTTCCGTAGTTTATTTCATAACTTCTAGTTTGCTTTTCCATAGTAGTATACCTTCTTATTTACTTTAGTAGCTTCTTTTTAATTTGCTAGCTTCTTTTTACGTTTTGAGTGAACAATAAACCTTTGGTTTTTTAATGTCACGGTTCTTTCCAAAGGTGGATTATGTGTGAACCGGATGACTCTTCCCAACAACGGATGGCGTGACAACCTTTTTAAGGGATTGAGTCCGTTTTCTTTTATGTTTGGTAAATATAATAGTAATGAATAAAAGGGGTATCAAGCATGCTTCACTTGGTACCAACACATTTACCTATGATCGTATGGTTAAAAACAAGTTATTGGCAGAAAATAGCTCTAGTTGTGACACTTTTGACTCTTGTGTTGACTTAAGCAATCATCGAGTGGTTCAAATCGAGCCATTTGTAATTCTCAATCATAGATAGGGTTGTTGTAGGCCCTCGACTCTATTCTCTTTAGCAATCCAGAAGTATGAGAGGTGAGATGTTTAGTTACAAGTCCAAGTACCTGTGCTAATGGTCTAGAACTTTGCCCGAATATTTGTCTAGGTGAAATTCTAAGTGTAGCTTGGCTTGAGAAATGATATTAGGCTCTCCTTGATCGAAATTGAAATTTAAAATCTTCCATAGCCTACCAATGTGATATCCCTAGTCAACCCCTTTGAGCTGAAGCCCTTTTTTCTTTCTATAACCACGTTACAAGCTTTTATCCTTTTTGTAATGACCCTCTCTTGGCACCCGATCTTTCCTTAGCATTCTCGAAAAACAATTGGCAAAAACATAAGTTTGGTTGAGAGACAAGGAGTTTGAAAGTGATAAAAGGTACAAAGAAGAGAAAGAAATGAAGAAAAGCGAAGGCAAAGAAAAGAAAGAAAGAAT